CCTCTATTTTAGCGGTGAGTGTGTGATTTTCTGGCTATGTTTCTTTCCCCGGGCTTTAGCCTGACATGTTCTCAGTGTCTCTCCCCGATGCCGCTTCGCTTTCATACCTGACAAAATCCGCTCAACCACGCCGGCTTCCGACTGTGCCGCGGAAGGTGTGCGTGGAATCACAATGATGTGTCAGTGAAGAAGCATCCCTGCCCCCCAAAGGCAGATAGCCAGCTGCATTTAGAGCGCCAGCCGCCCACTGCCTTCATACACAGGAAGTAATGAGGCTTGGCCCCCTGAGCCAAATCAACCCCAGACATAGATGGGACACAGAGACAAACATAACACATACAGAAAACTCAGGCGTGTAAGAAAAGGAAACAAGGAAATAAAGGAGGAGGAGTGGATGAAGAATAATATTAGTGTAGGACATGCAAAGGTGGAGGCTGATGCGCATCAGGGTGAAAGAAACAGTTGGAAGACAGGAAAGAAGATGAACGGTTCAGGTTTCAGCATTGCGGCTAATGGACGGCTGCATGCCATCCTTCAATACAATGGGATAATAATACAGATACGAATGAGAGATGCGCTCTCATTGGGGCGATTTTAAAACCATGTTAGTGTCTCACTTATTCAATTGGACTCCTATGGAATATACAACATAAGCCTCTCCTGGTGCATTACCATGCAAGCCTCACCAAAACATGAGATCATTTTGCAGTCGTAAAGATGAATGTGCTCGCACATGGCCACTACCAATGCATTTCATCATGTTCCCTCTCAGACAATCCTCAGAGAGTAAGTCCAAGCAAGGGCGGAACAGGCTTGTATTATATTATACAGTAATGCATTACCAGACACAATATTGCACATTCAAAATCCAACTTACAGTCCACTACTCTTTTGCTGTTTGCCATTCTTATTTATAAAACAGCTTGGCCCAACAATAACACCTCTCTTGTTTGATGCTGATCTATTCCAAGAACCAAATCTGGTCTCCAACCATCTCACATTTCACAATATAAAGAAACTCCACACTCTTTCAGGAAGAAAGTCTATCACTGCATTAATGTATCATATAGAGCTGCACAGGAAAACAAATGTAAAAATAAATGCACAGTAATATTCATATTTAAACACTGTAAACAATAAAAAAGCCAGCAAAGGTGCATTTAATTTTCAGGTGGCAGTAAATTCTGGCCCAGATTTGGCATAAAGGGTGTGGGCCAAACATAACCCGGGTATGACAGAGGTGGCATCGACTTTAAGGTGGCACGCAAAACATGGGCCATATCTTAAATGTAGAATTTAGTCCAGATGTTAAAAACTGATATGTGGGCCACATAAGTTTGGCCTTTCTTGACCCACATCTAAAATAAAATTTTTAAGTGAAGAAAAATTTTTTACCAATCAGGTCACTATAAGAAAACACGCCCCTAAGCGAAATACTTTATGTGTTTAACAATTGTATTGCAGTCTTGACACACCAACATATCTGGCCCAGTTCAGGCCCACTTATGGGTTATTAATTTGACTGAGACTTGGCCCAGAGATGGTCCATGTTTGGCCCTTTGTCTGGAAGCCAGACTTAGTCCAGCCAAGCAAAAGCTAATTGTGTGGGCCATAGCTGGGCCAGAGAAATTTTGCTATGTGGGTTATGTTAAAGTGTCAGCCCATAGCCCTACCCCTTCACATGAACACCCAAAACAAGGAGTAGAGGTGTCACAATTCTCTTTAGCTTGAAGTCTTAGTGCTAAGGGGAAAGGCTAGAAAACCCTTGAAACAGAGATTTTGCAGGAATATGTCCAAGTTGTAAATGCACAGTACAGTTATGAGCTTATTGCCACATTATATTGTTATGATATACGCCTTCAGTGATTTCCTGAAGATAAATACCAAAGTAAATGCAACAAATAACTACAGCAGTCAGCATCATCAATCTCATATGAAGAGATCGCGATGACATATGATGACGTGTGCAGTGTTGTAGTGCTGTCCCATTTCCTAGGGGTCAAGTTTTAAGCCCTTTCCCTTCACACTCTGTTTCAAGGGCCTAGGGCAGCGGTGTTCAAACTCTGTCCTGGAGGGCCGGTGCTCTGCACAGTTTACCTCCAACTTGCTTTAAAACACCTGCTAAGAAGTTTCTAGTATATCTAGTAAGAGCTTGATTAGCTGGTTCAGGTGTTTAATTAAGGTTGGAGCTAAACCGAGTTTGGACACCTCTGGCCTAATGTAAGGGGTAAAAAATAGAATTGGGATTGGGCCTTAGTTAATCCCAAAAATGTGTTATTAATTGCTCAATCTCATGTCATTCCAAGCCCTTGAGATCTTTGTTTATCTTCAGAACACAATTTAAGATATTTTAGGCACCCCTATAATGTCACTGAGGAGAAGAAACTAAGTCCTTATTTAAGTTTTATGTGTGCTAAAAAAAGGATTCTCCTAGCTTGATGCTATCCTGATTGAACCACTAAAGGCATATGTTCTGTTTTGAGAATGTTTTTGGTACCTGGTCTGAACTTTGAACAAGCCAAAAAAAACCTTGCTGTCTATGTCAGAGCTCTCAGATTTCACCTAAAATATCTTAATTTGTATTCCCAGGACAAATTAAGGTCTCGGGGGGTTGAGGAAGAGTGATTAGTAAAATAATTGTGATTTTTGGGTGAACTATCTCTTTAAAATATATATTTAACCAACTATTCTTTGCTTTCCATCTTTCTAACTGACTGCCAAACAGCTATTCAACTCAAGAAGAAATGCTTTTTGAGCACCAACACATTCGAATGATTTCTGAAGTATCATGCTATTGAACACTGAAGTCATGTCTGGTGGGAACTCACAGGAATACGATTATAATTTAACAATTGTAATAAAATTTCACAGTAAAGTTTAACCAACCAAAAACCAATGCATATCTTGTTTGTTTTTTAATATTTGGACGTCTACAGTACTAAGGATGCACCACTTGAAAACCTTCTCAATAGGTATACACACTGGGAAATCGCGGGCCCACCCATAAAAACTTGTCACAGGTCCTCTGAATTTTAATATTGACCCTGGCACAGACAATGTCAATGTATAAATAAATGAAAAAGACAGCCATGCGGTCTGGAAGAACTCTGGCCGTAAGCATAGTTTCTTTGGCCCCAGAGTCAGGGCCCTCTTTTGCCCCTCACCCCTTCCTTATCAGTATTCGCCCCAGGGCACTTTCAGCTCGAGAGAAAATTCACTGCACTGTGAAAGAGAGAACGTGTGGCATTAAATTATACATAAGCTTCTCTTTATACAAGCAGTTTGCTATGTTCTCGCTGTTACGACTAGGGTGTTGGATCCAGTTTACATAGTCACACATAACTATATAGCAATGAAAATGTCGCCAAGGGGTATAAAGATGCAGATCTTGACTCGATTGTTCCCTTACAAAAACACACAAGCCAGGGTTAACAGCTTAGATTTGTATATGGTGTAATCCTCTCTATGTGTTCTGTGTGAGGAAGAAGCGGGAGCTGTAATGTGTGCATTTAAGTTATCACTGCAATTGTCTTCTCTTTGTAAAGGGCTGTTTAAAGTCCCAGGATTGGATGACATTCAAACTCACGCTGGCTAATTGGTGCTGACAGACAAAATTGATGGCCTGTTTTTAACACCTTGCTTTATAAATAAACAGCGTTCCACATTTGATTACAGAAGTATATCAAATTAGCATGCAGACTAATGCTAATTCCCAATTTCCTATTCCCTAATAAAGCAAAATCATTTTTTCACTCTGAAAACTGAGCCAGGATTTTGTCTGAATAGCACATTCTCTCGGGATTCAGGTGAATTGAGCAGTGCTGGAGTGTAACTAACACAAACTCACTAACTTAGTAGCGTGACAGTAGATTGGATTCTTTGGATTTAGCATAGCTTTTCCATGAACAAGCTACTTTTATTGGTGAGTGCTACATTGTGTGACAAAATCCAAGAACAATCCAACTGAAATGTCTCTCTCACACAGGCAAATGCTGTCGCATTGCAATGCCATGCTATTAATTGTGAAGTAGTTTGCTTGAGTACTGAATGCATTTAAAAGAATAATTGTATAAAACTAGCTTAACTAAATTATGAGTGGCTTGTAGCCTGACATCTATTATTTCAAAATAGAAACCTTAGCACTGGAACTAACAGGATTATCATTCAGACATACAAGGACATACAAGGAGTCATACAGACACAGATAACAATGTAAATACTATTTCCCATTTGCAGCAATCTAGTATCTCTCATCATCAGTTCTTTCTTGTGTGTGCACACACTCCCTTCGCGAGTGTCTTAGCATGTATCCACTGCCTTAAGTCTACCTACTATACCTACTGCAGTACTCATATCTTTACTTATCTAAATGGAATCTCCACCCTAAGACCTGATCTCCACTGACAGGACGAGAGCAGCCAGCACCCTCTCTAGCACTACTACACTTCCTCTTTTGCTTTCTATCTGTCTCTCCACCTCTCACCTTGAGCATCTGCTTTAGATCAGGCAATCTCTCCCTCTAACAACAGACCTGCTTTATATGGGAATACATGCTAATGCTATTGCGCGGAGGGAAAAAAAATGGAAGCTGCAGCACTGGGAGTCATTATTCTTGAAAACTGATATGAAACAAACAGAGCAAGTGGGCAGACGTGTCCACACGATACAGAGAGGATAAAGACAAAGATGAAAAACAGTTGCCTATGTGCTATCTCATTAACATGCAGAACTAATGAACTCAGCAGCAAGCACGAACACTGTTAGACTGCTTCACTGCCTCTTTGTAATGCCAGAAAGCGAGCTAGAATAGGTATCTATAATGAAGTTTGAAAGGATTTTTTTGAAGAAGCAAACAAAATCAGTACTGACCAAATGATGCGGCTATAGAACTGAAAAAAGGTGTTTCATAAAATCATGGATCATCACAGGCAGTGGGACAAGCACACGCAAACAAACACATCCATATTTATAAATTAAACCGTTTAGTTGATCACACTTACGTGTCCTGAAGCGATGGTGTGGGCGAGTAGGTTTGGTGGAAGGCCCCTTGGAGGAGCGCCCATGGTTCCAGCGTTGACCAGGCTTGGAGGGCGATGCAGGGGTAGAGGTCGGTTGGGCAGCTTGGGTGGTGGTAGTGCTCGTTGTAATCGTAGTGGTTGTCGTGCTAGTGGTGGTCGGACTCGGTGGCCCAGCTCGTGCAGAAGGTGATGCGCTTCGACTCCCGCCCTCACCGTTGGGCTTTCGGACAGTGGTGCTGCGTGGAGTAACCTCCTTTCCTCCTGGTGGAGCAGGATTGGTGGCCCGGGTTGTGGTTGTGATGTTGGTCACTCGCGTTCCCACTCTGTTATGCAGGTGTGGAGCTCTGTTTCCTGAGCCTCCCCCTAACCCCCCACCGCCACCTCCACTGCTGCTACTGCTACTGGCCGTGTGGTTTGAGGACTGCCCAATTCGAGTTCTTTGCACTGTACCTGTGCCCTCAGCTGCTCGAGTTGCAGAACCTGGAGCTGCTGAGGGAGTGGTGGAAGTGGTAGATGCTGAAGCATCAGAACCCTTAGGCAGGGAACTGGGTTTAGATAGGAAAATCGGGTCCTGTCCAATGCGATTGGCGTCCACCAGATCAGTTGGGACGTAATCCTGCACTGAGCCCACCACAATCCATTTTAGAAGCATCAGGCTGAGGCCCAGGCCCACAAAGCCCATCAGCAAGGGCACAACACAAAGCCAGGTCTGCTGGCGTGGCCAGACTGCACAGGGGCCACAGCGGAGGGGCCCTGGGGCCCGGGGAGAGGCTTGTTCACCCCCGGGCTCCTCCAGGGTCATGGTCTCCATGGTGGCCCCTAGTGCTGTTCTCTCACTCATGCTTCTGGGGTTCAGGGCCCAGCCAGGAAGTAGTGCAAGCAGTGGAGGGGGCTGGGGAGGGAGCCAAAACTGGGCATCTCATTAATATTCATTTAACACTCTTCCACAGCTACAGATACATGCAATACTGACTACTCACTTGAAAAGCACAGCGAACATCAGCTTATATATATTTATATACATATACGTATATGTATATACATATATAAACACATAAATAAATAGATTATATACAATACAGTAAACAAACCCTAAATCCCGAAGACACAAGTAGTCACGTACACACGCACACACACACGCACATACACGCACATACACACGCACTCGATCAGAAACCTAAAAGGAGTGGGTTTGGGAGAACAGCGGGTTTTGGGAACAAGCCTCTGTTTAGTTCAGCTTCCGAAGAACCAAAGGTAATTCCCAAGACGTTCCATATATAGAGGCAAAAAATAGAACAAAAATTAAGTTTTGCAGATCCGTCGGTGTTCTGCCTGGAGTCAAATTTTCCTTGTAAATCCGTGAGTGTTAGTGCGAGGGCAGCTCCCTGCTGCAGATCTTCTCTCACAGCTGCATTAACGCATCGGTCGTCGCGGCTGGCGCAGCCCTGCCTCTGTGTGTGAGTTTGTGCGTGTGTGTGTGTGTGTGTGTGGAGAAGCTCAGGTAGTGGCAGAAGCACAGCTCCACACAAGGGACAGCTCTGCGTCTCTCGTTCTCCCTCAACACGGCACTTTGTCTCTGGCTACGTAGCTAAGATCTTCCCTCTAGTCTCTACAGCGGTGCATCAGTGGACACGGGTAGCCGGTAATCCACCCCACAGGAGAGAACAGCGGAGAGGGGGAGAATGATGTACTGTGATCAGGCAGAGATGGCTGCGAGGGTTAAATCCATCAGATCCTTTTCCCAATCCCTGCCCTCAGTTCTCCCGTTTTGTCAGTGCACATCCGAGCTTCTGCCCTGCATCCGTCATTGCACCAGAATTCAAAGGCAGTCCTGTCTCTGAGCTTGCTACATTCCCACACTGAAAGACTCAGACCTTGGCAGAAACACAGGCACACAGAGTGTGAGAGAAGCGAGCAGAGGGAAAGAGAGGGAGAGAGAGAGAGAGAGAGAGAGAGAGAGAGAGAGAGCGGAAACAAGAGAGGGAGAGAGAGCAAGCAGTAGAATGTGCGACGGATAGAAAGCAGAAGAGGAGGGAGAATGAGTGGGTGAGCATGAGACTGGGAGAGAGTGAGATAGAGAAGGGAGGGGGGAAAGGAGAGAGTGCTGCTCTGAAAACTGATGCGGCTGCTTTTCTTAGAGGCTGCAGTGTGTGCGTCTGCATGTGTGTTTTCTTCTGTGTGTATGTGTGTGTATGTCACAGAGAAGGGTGGGGGTGTGTGAATGATGCTAGTTATAAATTTCTTGAGCAGCCACTCTTTTGCCTTCCTGGACTTTCCATCTTTGTTGACTGCATATGTCCAGATTGACAAACATGGACTGCCAAATGAGTGTACTTGAGCTTGTTTGTGAACAGAAACGGAAGTAGAGGGTGGAAAAGGAAAGAAACCAGTGAAGGAAGGAAGGAAGGAAGGAAGGATGGATGGATGGATGGATGGATGGATGGATGGATGGATAAAAGGATGGATGGATGGATGGATGCATGGAAGGAAGGAAGGAAGGCCAGAAAAACAAGAGCAATTAATGTAATAAAATAAAGAAGTAAGAAAAAACATCAGTGAGGACAGTAAATAAGAAAGCAATGAGGGAAAAGAGATAAATAAATTGGTAACAAAAAGAAAAGAAAGTGAAATGAAGGAAGAAATGAAAATATTGAAATAATGACAATGGAAGTAAGGACAGTGGGAAGGAGATAGAGAGAGAATAAGGGATAAGAAAGGGGAAGAAAGAAAGAAAGAAAGAAAAAAAGAAAGAAAGAAAGAAAGAAAAAAAGAAAGAAAGAAAGAAAGAAAGAAAGAAAGAAATACGTTTTCTGCTCTATTAAATCCAGCAGCAGTGGTTCTAGAGAAATTGCAGCCCATGTAAAGTAGTTCAAATCCCCCATAGACGCCCGTCTCACAGACACACCCCCTGTGTTCCTCTGGGACAGCGAGAGGAGAGGCTTCTGAAGACAGATTGGGACATTCAGTCTTGGTGCCAAGTTGGGGTGACTTGGTTTTGAAGACTTAAACCAGGACACTCAGGTGGTAGAGGGCATCCCTGTTATGCTTTAGTAGTCAACGCAGTTAGATACAACTTCCAATTAACCAAAGAAGAACACACAGCACAAAGACAAACTCTGGCTGACCTGATTTATTCAGTTTCTGATTTATTCAGATTTACTAGACTCCACGATCAATGTTAGAAATTATACATTGAATGTTAAATTTGACTTATTTGCAGGTCAAACACATCTTGTGAAACCTGGATAAATTACATCTCGCTCCCCTTCAAAATTGAATAGATCACAGAATCCTGGATAAATGCAATGAAGACTTTATACACTATTTAAATTTCTTTCTTTCTTTAAATTGAGCAATAATAGTTAAACTATTAGCAATTATTAGCAATATCTCAATTAGACACACTGACAGTATGGGATTTTCTTTTTCTTTTTTTGTAATGGCATAACTGGGCACTTGATTAACAGCTTGTGTAAAAGCTATGTATTGTACTGATGTACTGTGTGATGGTACGTAGATCATTCTAAAGGCTGTTCAAATCAAATGCATTTGTTTTAAAAAACACAAGATTATTAGATGTGAGCCAAATTTCTGGATTATTATTATAAATTTAAGTTGAATAAGCTTTTACAATGTGACCACCACATTTTATGTTTGAGATGCTTCAAAAGCCACAAGGCACAAAACAATCACATGCATGTTTGTAGATAATCTATACAAAGTTATCAGATTTGAATGCAAAAACATGGAAAAGCTAAAGTCTGCTAATGGTGTTATACTTTTAAGCAGTCCACCTCTAAAACTGAATAACTACATTTTGGCTATGGATTTTGTAGCCTTCTTATTGATACTATTTCTAAATATAAAGGATTTTTATAGGAAGTACAATAAGCAGCTTGTTGACAGTATTACCAATTTTGGATCATGATAATTTAATCACAGACCAGCTTCAAAAACTCTCCTTCACAAACTGGATGTTATTTACCATGCAGCAATTGGCTTTGTAAATGGTGCGCCATTTAATACCCATCACTGTTAACTGTATTCATCGCTGACTTAGCCTTCTGTTTAATCACATCAACAAATTAATTAGTTTCTATTAATTCACCAAACGTTTATTGGGAAAACTCCACGATATTATCGTCACTTTTGAAACGTTTAGAAAACATGTCGAAATCTGCGCTCTAGTAGATTTAATAACCTTTGTGTACCAAAAGTTCTACTCTTTTCAGTTTTAAAAACCTTAAAAAGCTCAACACTTTTATTCTACTATCATCCTTTAAAAACTCAGTTCAGGTAATAGTACAAGATCACTTGCTTGTTTTTATTTTTTCCTTGGTTTTATATGTTATTATCTGCATTTGTAAAATTGTTATTGTATTGTGTCCCTGCAGCTTTCATGTCTGCTTTTTATGTTGCCTCTTGGCCAGGTCATCATTATAAATGAGAACGTTCTCAATTGACTTACCTTAAATAAAGGTTATATTTAATGTCTTTCTCCAAAGATATTTAGCAGGTTAATTTGTTTTACATTCACGTTTACATTTACTATATGCACTCAATGATAGTATTAATCATTTGGAATTTTATTTTCTGTAACTAGCTTACTTTATAAGTTTTTATTAAGAAAATTATACTTGAACTATGTTGGATTCACATTTTAAGCACACCTGTTTAACATAAAAATTAATTGTAATGTTTAAAAATTAAATAATAAATTATCTGTAAGTTAGCAGTTTTCGTGTATATATATGTATATATATATATATATATATATATATATATATATATATATATATATATATATATATATGTGTGTGTGTGTGTGTGTATAATTGTGAATGAGTGTGTATGGATTTTTCCTAGAGATGGGTTGCAGCTGAAAGGGCATCAGTAAAACATTTTAATAGTTTATAGTGATATAATGTCTTGATTAGTGTTGTATAATGCGGTACAAAACCTTTTAATAAACTGCCTGTACATCTTCTATTTTACAGATGATTTCTCTATATTATTTTTTATCATAATATTATTTCAAACTATTAAACTGTCAATAAAAGTCACTTTTAATCTGTAGAGTCGAATTTTCAACATCAAAAGCTGACAGAGCAGAAATTCTTTTGCAATATAGTCCTATACCATTTTTCCCCAACTCTATTTCTTGGCGTCACACCAACGATACACATTTTGGATGTCTGCCTCATCTGACCCATTCATTTCTGGTCACAGAGTCTCAAGCATGTGATTGCCCAAGGACAATGAAAAAAGGAAAGAGCACATATCGATATAACTGCCCCCATTATACACTATATCCTTATATTGCAATTCTGATTGCAGCCTTGGTGTGCCTCCAGGAACAGGGTTGGGAAACACTGCCCTACACACAACCAGACAAACACAGATCACTCACCACACAATACAGAAGGTTAAAGCCCTCATTCAAGCAGATCCCTCTGCAAACAATCAATAAGAACCTTTATAAAAACCCTTTCCTCTGGGGGGCACTAGACTGTGAACGCACACCCAGCATGAGTGTGACCTGGGGTGGATTTGGACACTTTTACGCTCTGATTGACAGCGCTTGATTGACAGATGAGGATGTTTCTGCAGAAACAGGGACAATTAAATGTACTGTGACCTCACACAGGACCTTCTTCTAATAAGATAAGAGAGGCTGAGGGAGAACACGGTGTGAAACCGGGAAAACAGAGCACATGCATGCCTTTGTTTGTCAACCGGAGCACTGAGGGGAAACAAAGGCGTGATTGACAGGGTGAGAATGAGAGAAGAAGAAAAAACAGGTACATCAGATGAGAACAAGATAGTGGTGCAATTCCTTACTTGGAGGATGCAAATATTTACATAAGTTGTGCCTCATCTACAACACTGGATGGCATGTCAATAACACAGGCAAGAGCAGAGGGATTCTTCTTGACTCAGAATCACTTTAGAGGTGGAAAAATGTTTGCAATGCCTTACCGAATGACTTTGAGCTTCAGTAAAAGAGACGTGGCCTGCGTAACGTCATGAGCACAATATTCCCAATGTATTGGATCTCTTTTCCTCTGCTGAGCAAATGAAACCAACACCACTTGAATAGACATCGTAAATGACAGGACTCTCAGTACACATCTAAACATTTATTTCTGAGTTACCATGGATTTAAATAGCAAATAGTCCTATAAAAGAATTATTGGACCTACTGACAAAATAAAATCAAAGAGACTGTGCCATTAAAGGAAGGCAATTCTCTGTTGGGTTAATGTCTTGTTAGTCCACGCAATGGAGTAATCATTTTCTTACTGGTCATTTATTAATCTTTGGGTGCAGTTGGCCTTTGGTTGAACTGGAATCATCATTTAGGCGAGCCTTGCCAGAATAACATAATTGCATTTAGGAGATTGGAAGAGATTCCGTCTGTTCAAAGGGAAGAATCTTTTTTCCCATTACACTTGAGACTGGACTGAGATCTACCCACACTCACACACACCCACATATTTACACACACACACACACACACACACACACACACACACACACACACACACACACACACACACACACACACACACACACACACACACACACACAACAAAACAACAGAACGCATTCTCTCTAACATTCTGGTGGGAAAAGCTTTGTAAAAGCATCTGAAATGGTAGCATAATGCAAAAGATTTCAAATGCCCAGGCTTGAAAATACAAAGAAGAATAAAAAGCACTGATCTGTATTTTACCTTTAATAATATTCAGCACAAAAATAATACCTTTTGTAATATAATTCCTATATATTTTAAGGACAAAGTCAGAAAATAAAAATGAAAGCAAAAATTGTATATATGTATACAATATGTTTTTTTTGCTTTTATTTTTATTTTCTGACCTTTTCCTTAATATATAGTTTTTTAATATATAATTATAGATATTAATATTCTCT